CTTTCCTTTCCTTTCCTTTCCTTTCCTTTCCTTTCCTTTCCTTTCCTCATTTATAAACATTCAGGAATCTGAGCAGAGAATAACTTCATTAGTTGGTCCTACGCAGTGGATATTACTCATTATTTGTTATACCACCAACAAAAAGCAAAAAAGATTGTGCTCCATATGCACCCCTGCTCGTGCATTACAGTCAGTAACATAACCCACAATATTACAGCACTCCTTTTGGACCTCAATATTGAGCACTTAACATTCACACCGCAGTTAACTGTTTATATATATATATATTATTATTATTTTTTTTAATAAGAAACTGTTTGCTTATTTTGCACCTATTTCACAGACTTACAGAATTCCAGCAATTGTTGCCTTACTTACATTGACCTCACTCTAATTGTTGGGATCCTAAATTCTGCACAGATGCTATTACTGTGAATTTAACTTCATATAGCAAGAAATTCAGGGCTGCCATATGCTATCTTTTATGAGCTTGCAGTTTGTAACAAATATCCATGACTAATGTTCTTGACCCAGGTAAGCCCATGATTACAAAAAGCAAAAATTTTACTAAACTTTATTGCTGCACTTTTACCAATACTGTCAACAACAAATGCATAGGAACTCCTATGCCTGTGTGTTGATCTGAAAGACTATTTAGTTCCTCTCAGCAATGCCTGCAACCAATGCCATCTGGGGATTCTGAAGAGATTGCCAAAATCTTCCAGATTCATATATATTTGTATCAATGCTGATAGGATGGCTGCCTTTAATATTCAATACTGTTCAGACATCTTTACATTTTGTACCTTGGATCATTTTTCTTGGCTGTTTTTCTTTTTTCTTTCCTTCTTTCTTTCTTTAGTCAAGTGGGTCAAAACTATCAGAAGCAGCATAAGAAGTATTTACTTGCTGGAATTCAAATACATTTATTAAGGATGTAGTTTCAAGTATTTTAAACAATTGCTATAAAAAACTTGGGAATACCTATTCATAAGTAACTCAATCTTTATTAATCCTCAAGGATATGAACCAGATATTAGTTAACATCCAAATTAATTTTCAAAACTACAACCAGTCAGATAGCAAATGTAAACCTGAAAAATTTACCTCCAAAAGCATGTAAGGGAACCAATTGCATGGTGCAATTAGCTATACCCCATAACAGAGAGGACTTCTCCCTGCACAGAGGCACGGAGCTGTGGCTCACATGCACTGTGGGGTTTAGCAAAGCTTGTGGCACTCACAGTGATGTGGAAGTCTGGGAGATATAATGTGGCATCGGTTGCAAGGCCTTGTTGAGGTTTAAAGAGAGGGCAATCTTGCTTAAGCAACTTGTTGCTATACTGAAATCTATAGCTGGAGCCCCATTGGGGAGAATGTCCACTCCAAGGAAGGAGAGATTCAAGGTGACAGCAGAGGAACTGGTCTTCAATTGGAAGCAAATATTAGGTGAGATGGGGAGAAGACACTTTTCTCCAAGGATGTTGAAACTTATTCAAAACTCACTTTCTTAGAGAATTTCCGATCAGGTAATTAAAAATCATTAAATCAGAATAGTTTGTGTTGCAAGAGACCATTAAATGTTGTCTAGTCCAACTCTCCTGCAATGAAGAGGGACACCTATAGCTCCATCTGGATGCTCAGAGCCTGGTCCAACCAAATACACAAGAGTAAATAGCAAATTAGGAGACCTGAAAGTCAAATTTAGCCCACTCAGTATTAATCCATTGACATCCAAGTATGCAGGAGGTGACTTACCCAGGGCAGCCAAAGCTCACATCTCATCTGCAAATAAAATCAAGCATATTAGCCACTAGAATTCACACTGGCAACTAAAGTAAAAGTGTTAAAACTCTTTACTATGAACAGTTGTCCATACAGCAATTGAATATTGGCAAGGTAGAAAAATAACAGTGAGGAGAAATTTTAAGTATCTGTTAGAGAGTAAGAGATTGAAGGTGAGCAAATGTAATAGAGTAATCCATTTATTCAATGCTGAATAATATTTTTCATGTAAAAGACCAATGAAAATAACCTAAGCAATAGCAAAGGAAGACTGGTCCTTCATCATTAACTTTTTGTGAGCCTTGCATCAGCAGATTCACTGCTGCTTTTTTTTTTTGAGTGTTTTGAATGTTATGGAAGGGATGGATGCTCATCTCACTGTACAGCTAGCCAATCTCACCTCATAATGTACAGTGAAGCAAAACTAGTGTGAGGCAAGAATGAACTTTTCTGGTTATTAATCTCCCATCTCCTTTCCACATAGTCATTTTCACTCTGCATAGTGAAAGCAATGCATGACAACGTGAGAACTGAGCCTGAGTCCTCACACACAACCACTGAGCAACAGAGCCCTTCACCTGATCTGAGGGTACAACCCACAGAAGGTCTTTCACTTATCTTTTGAATGTTTTTTCCTCTGAGTCAGATATTAGCACCACAATTTTGGAAAATACTGCCAGGAAAGAATTACTAGTATGGCACCAGAGACATGGCTCCCTTGGAAAGACATCACTGCAGCTATATTCAGGCATCCTCCACTGAACTACACCATCCAGCAGTTGTGTATAGATTCTTTTATGCTGATTCAGATAACCACTTACTCTAACTTTAATGTATTTCATTTTGTTTCATTGTAATTTTATTTTTTATTTCTTTTTTACTACCATGGTTTGTTTTCAATTCAAGATATTTATGTTCAGTTAATTTATTTTCTTGTGAAATCAAGAGTCAACTGTAGCAGAATTAGCTAATGGATGAGGGATGTTTATGCTGTTCAGTGCTAACACAGTTTGGAGTTAATACAAGAGGAGTTTATGCAGGTGTCTATCACCATAACTGTGGTTTAAAAGCTGCTTTTTGATTTTAGATAAAGCAAACAGCAAAACACCTAGATCTTTATCTGGAGCTCTGGAATCTGGAAAGCTTAATAAAAAGAGGAAATTCCCTCATTAAATTCCACTGTTTTAGTTTTACTGCATTATTCTAAACCAAATTCTACAATCTCTCCTCAAGACCCAATTATTCCTTTTTACAGATTCTTCCATCTAAACAGCAAAAATGCATAAGTTCTCTTACATTTTTGATGGTGGGGAGATAAAAGTGAATTTGATGTCCCTCTACAGCTGACAGTCATGTAAACCAAAATCTCAACTCCGCATTTTGCCTGTGACATTTTTCTTCACCTTTGGAGAACACCTTCTACCAATTTTCTACAGATGCACTTGGGAGATACTAAGAAGAAACAACAGCGAGTTCATCTCAGCTTAGGGAAAAAGGACCAGAGAAGTGCTACACCTGCAGGACCAGGAGAAATCCCTCTTTCCACAAGGAAGAGCTTTATGCATTTCACAGCCCTTGATGGAAGACACACACATGGGAGCAGAAGAAGAAAACATTGAAACTACTGCTTTATCCTGCCTCCTGGACTGATGGGTGAAACTACTGCCAGTTTAACATGGACTCAGATTCCAGAAAATATCTTGGAAGAAAGGGTAGCAGAGATTTCCATCAACTGTCCCCATTTCAGGTAAACATTTCTTTAACCAAGTGACCATTTCACTTGAAGAAGGAGCTCCAATATATAGATTGCAGGGGAGAGATTTTGTTCCCTTGCTTTCAGACAGAAGTAGAAAAATCAGAGATGTGGAAAAAATACAAAAACTTTTATGAACTATGATGTGGTTCATAAACATTAAATTTCATTTTACCCAACACAAGTGGGAAGCAACAGGAAGAACTGAGTTTATTAGCTGTTAATTTTCGCTATTAGCATAACCCTGTGAAAAAGGCAGCATGGTCTCAGGGTGCATCAGGTGAATTATTCCCAGGATGAAGCAGTAATGTCATGGTAGAGGGCTGGGAGAGCTTGCTCTGAAATACAGAGGATGGTGAATTCTGTTGAGTTGAAGCTTCAGGAGAACAGGATCACTGCTTGCTAGTTAATGCATCAGTCTGTTAATAATACAAAGGAGAAAACATTCCAGCTAAAGAGCAAGCTGAAAAGGAAACAGGAGGAAAAAGGAAAAAACGAAATCAAGTGGTATAAATTAGTCATACATAGATTTCCCATGTAAATTAAAAAGTCTTTAAACAACAGAGAACTGCATGAATCATGGAGTCAGGAAACCTCAATTATATCAGTAAGCAATTAGTTAAGTTTTTGAAAAGGAATAAGGAAAACGCAGAAGAGATGGGGGACCTAAAAACCAGAAGTTCCCTGACTGTAGAATTTCTATATCCCTACCTGGCCTACTTCCCTTAGTCAAACAATAAGAGCCTCCCATGGGTAGAAATCACATCTTTAACCAGGAAGGCAGAAAAGAATGAAAATGTAATGAATCTGAAGCACCAAAAAGTTCAAGTTGCTGGTGAAGAAGCAGCAGCAATAAGTTTGTAAAAGATCCTGTGTTCCCAGCAATTCAGTGCCTATGTAGTGAGGCAGCTAATGAAACAGGAATGGGAGTGCTGTACTCATGAGTCACTCTGTTTGGAAACCTTTACGTGCTAAAAAAAAAAAAAAAAAGAAAAGAAAAAGAAAAAGAAAGGAGGAAAAAAAAACACGCCATGTGTTAGAAGTATCTTAGCCAAACATGTTCTTTCTCTTAAGCATACAACAAAACACAACTGTCCTCACGGTAAATATCCTCCGTTTTATTACTTTAGATCACTTTTCAGTGCTGTAATCATGTCATTAGGTTTGCAATTGGCTCCAAAAGAAGCAGCCATCTAAATATAAACTTCTTGCTTCCCAGTCCACTATGTCTGTGTTACTTTAGGAGGACAACCAGAATTCAGAGGGTCTGAGCCTACCAGTGACATTGATGGGAGTAGGCTCAATACTCCTTGTCAGTGTCATGCCTAAGGAGACTAATATTCTTCTCCACATTGCAGTTTGTAACACATTCAGGCAGTTCTAATCTTTTTCTATGAACTGAGTTAGAGATCTGCAGCAGAAAAAGAGAATATAGCAAGTCTATGTGAACAGCTGATGTACCACCAGCATTTCCATTGGTAACATTAGTTACTGGTATCAACCAATATTTTCTTTTGCATCCTACAGAAGGTAAGAGAAAATAAAATTAATTATTTTGCTTTTTATTATAGAGGAATTTAAATAGTAGACCACTGAAATCATTCTTAAACAAGTCTTTATAGGATCACTACTGCTACTCCTAGGATCATATTGCTTCTTAACCTTTACTCTAAGATTTTGTACCTTACTGTGCAATATCCTTGAGGATAACAGCTCAGAAGCTTGGTATCAGCCTGTTACAGATAGAACAGAGACATAGCATGGGAATTCCAGTTGTTTTGTTTTCATAAGTTTTTGCAATATGTAATGGTTTATTTTCACTACCTCTGGAGCCAGGAAAGTTGCATCTGTCATGAGTAACTTCTGCAAAAAATATGATGGTAGAGACTGAAGAATAACAAAAATGCTTTCACACTGAGAGGCCTCTCCCTATAATAACAGCATTCATCAATAATTGTAATAGCAAGTGGCAGCAAGAATTAAGTGTCCTTAAACTACCTTTGTGCCTCTACACAGTTACACTGCCCCATCCTATAAAAAAGGCTAGAGATTCCCACATGATAGGACAGGTCTGGGCCAAATAGATGGAAGCAGTAGGAAGACCGTCTCCCAGGTGGTTCAGATAGATATCTAGACCAAAAAGCAAACAAACAAACAAACAAACAAAAACCAACTGGAACCTGCCCATAGAGCAGAACAGTGCGGCATGATCATGTTTAACTCCTCTTTTAGAGCTTTAGTACAGAAAATCAACCTCATATATTAGCTACTTTGTGAACAGAGCTCATGGATGCCTTAGCTTTTACACGAGTATGTCAGGCAACTAACAGAGTTCTTAAAAAAATTACGCAGCGCTTTAAAGTAAAATATTTTAGCAGCCTTGAAAAATGGATGGAAGTAGATGTTACCACCAGCTCCATCCCAACAGAGCTGTGTCCCCTAAGGAGTCCCAGCTCTGGAGATGCTGCTTCTTCACGTTTGGGACTTCCTCAGCAAGTATTTAGCTACCTCCACATAAAGCAAAACTTTTACAGACAGAAATGATTGATGTCTGTTCTTCTACGGCCTTCACCTCCCTGTTTCTGGGTTAAAGTGAGGGCTCCACAAGGGTTGAGTTCCTCCAAAAAATCACAATAAAATCATGTCTCTTACCACATGGAGTAGGACCTACTCTATGAAGAAGCCACTTACCATGCCTGCGGGACTGCAAGCCAAAAGTTGCCCACCCAAGTGCCCCTTCTCTTTTGGGATGCTTTAGGAGTTCAACAGAAGCATTTTGCTGCTCAGCCTCCTAGAGCTGTGGTTTTTGCCATGGGATATCTAACTTTCTCCACGTACCCTGCAGAGTCTTGCTAACTCCCATCTCAAAGCACAGCTATGTACAGGGGAAAAAACAGCCCAGCACAGAGGAGAGGCGGTGGGGACAGCAGAAAGAAGCAGCCCCAAGCTGGGCTGGGAGCCGCTGGGAGGGAGCCAGATGGGCAATGAAAGGGGCACAGCCAGCTCCTCAAAAAAATAAGCTTTTAATTGTAGGGCATGTTGTAAGACACCCATGACATAAAGTTGAATTATTTTCATTTTTGCTCAAACAGCAAAAATGTAAATGCTGCTGTTTGCACAGAGAATTTTTTTTTTTTTTTAAGTTGTTGTTGCAAGGCAGCACTTAAAAGGAGGCTAATATTAATCATCTCCACGTAAGGCAAGTTTGAAGTAACACATCAGCCATTTACTGGGAGCAGCTGATGGGCAGTGGCCTGTTGTGCTGGCTGGTGTTTCTTCTGAGCGGGTATCAAATGGGTCCACGTGGCAGGAACAGAAGAGAGCTCCAGATGGGAGAGCAGTTCCATCTTTTGCAAAGTAAATCTGCTGTTTGAGGCTATATTATATGACTGAAATTTTATACATATGACTTTGTTGGAGCTGAGATCTCTCCCTTTGAAAATGTGCTACAATAATAATTGCATTTACCAGTTGCCAGTCCTTCTCGCAAAACATTTTTTTTTTGTTCCGATTGTGAAATTAATTGTCTCTAGCTAATGTAATTAAAAACAAACACTTCTGATTTCAGAGGAGGGAAAGGGGAGAGAAAGAAAAAAAAAAAAAAAAAACAATAACAAAACCAAAAACACACAACTGCAGTCCTGGTTTTCTATTGACAACAAGAAAGCTCTGCCATCCCTGAACTGTTTAATTATTGAAATGAACTGTAACAGTACACTGGATTGTTGCCGAGGTCAGCGAGCAGTGCTGGATGTCAAGAGGAAAGCAGCAGCTCTGAGAGCCCTGCAACGCCCCAGGCTCCGTCTGAAAGCCCACACACTTTTTCTCAGGCATTCAGCCCCAGATAGGTAGCCTGATAGCACGGCCGATTTGCTGGTGTTACAGAAGTCCGACGGTGCTTGCTTGTTTTAAGACAAGCCAAACTATGCTCTGGTGACCACCGTGACGCTGTGATTCCCATGCCCTATCGCATTCCTCTTTCTCAGATCCCAGGCATTTTTTTTTCCCCTACGTGCAGTCCAGGATGTAGACAAATGAATTCCAAGTGACCTATGTGGGGGTGGACTCTTTGGAAACAAACAACAAAAATAAGATATCTCCTGTCCTCACTTTTTCATTTGCTTGTTCCCTGGATACAGTTTGTTCGTGGCAATGAAACACACATTGTGTCTCTGGAGTGAGATCCAGCAGCAACATCTTTACCACCCCCTATTTTTTTTTTTTTCCTCCCTTTTCCCTTTTTCTATTCTTTTCCTATTTCAGTCCTTACAAAAGGAATCTTGTTTTACGTTATCTGCTCCTTTAGATGCCAGGTTGCCCTTTAAAGCGTATCATATCAAGGATTTCTATTGATATAAATGCTTTTTTTTTTTTTTTTTCCTAGACAAGTTCAAGAAACTGCAAGTTTTGAAAAAATGCATGTGCATATCTGCACTGGCAGCAGGATCTGCTTGCAAATAATCACTGTGTATCCAGGGAAAGGGAAAAAACTACTTTTGAAACTTTTGACGTGGAGAAAATTCTGTAGATAGAAAAACTGCTAGAAAGAAATAAAACTGCAGTTGGGGGAACAGACAATAAACATTTCAGATTGCTTTATGGCTCACTATTACAGGCAACTATCTTGCTTAAGTAGGCATAACATTTTTCACAGTATATATTTAAGGTTTTATTATGGTTTGGATGAACAGCAGGAAACCATCGCTCTTGAAGGGAGGGGAGAAATAATTTTTGCCAGCCCAGTGGTCTGGCAGGTAGCAAAAGGTACTTTGTAAAAAGGACATGGGTACGTGATTCAGTGTGGTCTGAGCAATGCCCTGCATGGTGTCCAGCCATGCGGGCTGCTTGCAGTGGAGGATGCATGCATGGGAGTGATGAAGTAGAATGGACCCTGGGGACCAGCACCACTCTTACTGGGTTAGTTGCACTGGGGCTTTTACTGGGGCACCAATGGAGAACACAGCCTTACAAACAGCCTAACGTTAGGGGCAAGCATCGGAGCATTTGGGGCCACTGCAGGCTCCTCTGGAGCAGCACTCCAGGACAGTAAGTTACGCAGAGACATCCACCTCCGGGCTGCCAAATCCTGACAGCTCAAAACAATGGAACAAAGAGTAACGGGAAAAGAACAGTCCACACCAACGCATCCAGCATTGTCCTGGATTCCCTTCGGCTTGCTTACAATGAGTGACGTCCTTCGGTCTGGGGTGCACCGCTTCTGCCAGGATCGACCCCAGCCCATACCCCAAACTTGGGAACCATGCCACAGCCAACAGCGACCCATGTATAAGTCATTATGCAAGACTAATTGAAGTCACTTGATTTTCATCATTATTATTCCCCATGGAGCAACAGCTTACCCCTCTCCCCAGTTTACTTCTGCCTCCATTTATCCCACCGTGACCACCAGTAATCCAGACCCTTCAGAGCACAGGATGGGGACAAAACCTTCCAACAAGCAGAGTTTCCCTGGCAAAGCCAGGCAGAGCCATGAGGAGCTAATCTCTGTGTACGTTACATGAACTGAAGTAAGTAATTTAGCAGCTTATTCCCCTAGGTAGCCAGTGACCACTGTATGTCCCTGCTATTTAATTTGGCAGTTAACCTTCTGAGGACTAGTAGTCATTTTAGATTAACCTTTGTATCTTAAAAATTAGTAAGCAATTTCCTTCAGGATATTATTATTTGTTTTTTAATTGTTAATTTTTCCACCTATTTCCAATGGTCATCTCATCTCCCACATTTTTTGCCCTTTTTAATGCATCACTTTGTGGATCAGAGTTGGTGGAGGGTAGAGGGACGGATTGCTAAGAAATTAGAAAAGATTTTAAAAGAAGTAAGACGAAGCATTTGTGCCATAGTTTACAATTATAATAAAATAAATCTAGAAACCATTTCATGTATGAGAGCATGTATATTAGAAAAAAATATTCCTTTCTATAATGGATAACCATCTTAGGAACAGTAGAATATGAGTAATTTGTCAGTTTTTCTTTTAATTAAAACTGTGAATATAGTTCATGCACTGTTTGATTCAGCATCAGCATTTTGGATGGGGGCTAAAACTGATTTCCTCTTAAATCTGTGGGTTTCTCAGGACAACTAGTGAAGTGTGCCTTAATATTAAGCTCTTGAACCCAAGAGAGGTTGGCTTGTTACAAGACCAGTAAATCAACAGATATTGGAGTAATAGCTCTAATAAGGCTCAAGACTTCTATCACTTCTGTAAATGCTCTTTTTATCAAAACAGCATCCATTTTTCCTCTCAGACAACCTGTTTTAATTCATTGCATCATTACCAAGCTGGTCCACTGTAAAATGAATTAAAATCATGCTAGTTAGAATGGATTAATTCTAGGTATTTTTCTCAATGCAATCCATGGAACATATAATTTTTATTTTTATTTATTTATTTATTTATTTTTGACAAGCAAGAAATCTGCCTGACTTAACTCTGAATCATATTTTTTTATCGTTGCTACCTTGAATCTTCCTTGGGAGATAATTTAAACCAGTGTGAATTGAGGGTGGTCTATTCCCACCTTGCAGTGGGCGGGCACACGGTACCCATGCCCATTCCAGAACTGTATCATCCAAAACGCAATACTGGTGTAAGTGTCCAAGTGGAGAGGAACAGTGTGTTCCTTCTGCAGAAATGTGAATGCATGAATGTTTTTTTTGTTTTTTTTTTTTTGCTAATAGGATGAGCACAGAATATTGTATGGGTTGCATATCAAAGTTTGCATCCTTCTGATTCTGCTCATCTCCCACATCTCCCTCACCATAGTTTCACCATTCAGGGGGCAGAACTCATTGTTATGGTTCCAGGAAACTCTCATCCCTTGCAGTACTCAGCTTTAAGTTTTAGATCCTGCTACCTTGCCTGTTTTCATAAATACCCACAGCACTCAATAAAATTAAAACATCAATGAACAAAACAGATCCATATGAAGTTTTCCCCACAGATTAGGAAAGGAGAGAAAGAACATCTGGTGGAGGAGTGTCGTGTTGCTAAATATGTTCACGTTTCATTCTGATAGGTGAGTACAGCCATCATCTAACTTATCTGTAATGTACCTGAATGCTCCTTGGATCAAAGCCTGGGGGATGCAAAGGAAAAGGCTGAAGACTGAAAAAGTGCAGCCAAAAAAAAAATAATAATAAAAAAAGGAAACGTTCAAATGTATACTGTAAGCACCATGATAGTCCCCTTTGTGAGAAAGAGCTCTTACTTGATTCCCTGGGAATTACTTGAAGACAAACATGGTGAGAATTACTTTGGAGAGAATTTGAGAGGAAACACACCATGAGTAAGAGGAGCAGATGCATCTTGAGAGTTTAGAATTCTTCCTGTGTCTAACTTTATATGCCCTTTCCACAATCTTCCACTAATTCTTCTACACTGATAGTCTATAGAACTTAATTACACAAAGTTTTTTAAAAATCCTTATATAAAATGCATAATGCCTGATATCTGAGTCACAAGCACAGTTAATGTAATCTAACACATATTGCGGGAACCTACTGCACACAGATATTACCAATTAGCACATGATTTTAACAATCAACATTCATGCAATTAATAGAACACTTCATATTCCTTCTAATTTTGAGCTCTGCATGAGCATATGTTATCATGACGGAATGTGGGATCATTTATTTATACTGGAAGCAAGGCTCCACACAGAAAGCTGAGATGCTGAAAGTTAGCTTAGAAGGGAAAAGGGTTCAGTTTTGCATTGAGAAATAAATACTTGCAGTCTGATTTTTGAAAGTCGAGCTGCATACTTACCTTCTCCACGATTCTAAACTTCTGAAGGGGAAACTGTGCTGTGATTGCAGCCAGGGAACATAAGCAGCAGTGAATCAACAAGCAAGTGAACACTTCTCCCTAGGAGTGGACAGCACAATGTCATCAAGATCCACGAGAAAGAAATAACCATGTTGTCATGTTGTATTACTTAGATATTTTTGCATTTAAAGATTATAGTAGCTGAACATCTTGTTTTCTTTAGTATGTTTTTTGTCATATTTTACTGTGATTAGGGGGGAATTATTATTATTATATGCCAGATGAAGAACAAAGGTATAATGAGATTAAGTCACATCCCCAGAGTATTTAGGCACCCATTCCCATCAAATTCCACAGGATTAAGGCGTTTTATACCTTTAGTGTCTGGTCCCATCTCCTTACCTCACTGCAGAGGAAGCAGTGAGCTGAATCCCTGTTCCTAGAGCCCTGGTAATTGCCAGCCTACCTGACTTGTCTGCTTGTTCTGGGGTGCTAACATAAGCAAAAAGCAATAAAAACTTACTTTAATTACTGAAATCATAGATGCATTACTAGCTCATTAGGGAGAAAAGCTGTTTAGTACAGAGGTGTTTTTTTTTTTACATGTAGGTTGGAAAGAATCACAGTGCTGTTGCTGCTGCATTCCCAGTCTGTCACCATGAAGAACTTCAAAACACAGAGGTTGCACGAGTCTTCCCTCCAGAATATCCTCATATCTGCAGCTTCTTGCAGAAAAGTCCCACATGTTCCCCACCAGTGAAAACATTCATGCAGGCTTCACACCCAGCAGCTCACCCTGCGAGTTTCAACCAAGGTTATGCCAAGGCCACACCATGCCTTGCTGACCCGCACCTCATTTAGGAAGCTGCCTGCTCTAATCTGCCTTTCTAAAAATCTTGAAAAATCCAACAAGAGTGACATACAGCCCTCTTCCACTTGCAGGTGATGCATCTGACAGCAGAAGTGACCACACTGCTTGCTCCTCACCTGTCCAATGGGCAAGTGATAGCATTGAGCCCAAAGCCCTTTGGCTTTTGCTTCAGGAACTGCTCTAAACCTCTGCCTCAGGAGGCTGTTGCTGCGGGGAATTTTCCTCCAGCAGCGGGAACCAAAGCAGCTGCAAGAGCTGCAGATGTAGACTCTAAATCATCGTGTCTTTCCCTCTTTCAGGACAAGCTCCTGAGAGAATTTGGTTTACCACACATCTGACGTGCGTTTATGTGTTGAGGAATGGGAGTAACGCAATGATTCTCAGGGCATAACTATTGTGAAAAACATCAGAGGAGTTTTCATCTCCCTCTTTGCTTTTCCCACCCCCCTCAAGGTAGCATTCCCACAGCATCACCTTTGGGCTAGCTGCTGTTCCAAACTAAAACATACCATGATAATCTATAAGTGGCCAAAGAAATGAGAGATTTCACCTGTGGCTGCAGTGTTCTTACACTTATCTCAAGGGCTTTTCAACTAAATTTAGGTAAGCAAGGAGGAAAGGGTTCTGAACATCAGTATCCAGTGTCTCGACTGTATGCCTTGAAACAGATGTGCCGGGAAGGCAGTCTCAATTTCCTTGTGGAAATTGAGAGGATACACAACAGTAAAGAAATAAGAGAGGGGGAAAAAGAAAGAAAACCTTCATGTCTCAAACTGAGTTTGCCTGAGGTAACTTCAGTCCAGGTAATAGAGCCTCACTGGTGTCCCTGGCAGAGTGGGAAACTAAGGGTAAAGGCTTTCATGCTGACTAAATATCAAGAGATACTCCTTTTTTTGTTGTTGTTGTTGCTGATATCAATAGTAAATATCCATTTTTTTTAACCATTATTTTTACTGAAGGCTTTACTGCACAAAGAATCCAGGGGGAACAGAAAATCATATAATTGTGCAGGTTGGGGAATTCTCTAAAAATACGTAACCATGACACCCTTGTCATTGCCAATCAAGTAATCTTGAAAAAAAAAGTACAATAATTAGCCTTTGAGAAGAGCATAAAGCTAATTAAAAATGACAACTTAGTCATCTCCACAAACAGCACAGAACCAGTCAGTAGTTCTAAGCTCAGTGTGATGCAATACCTTCACCTGCCAAAGGGGCCTTTCTTCAAGTGCATCAAAAGAAACTACTGTCATAGGATAACATTTTTCCTTTGTTCTAAAATTTGGATTTGCTTCATCTACCATACGGTACATCTTTTGGTTCTGCGTGTGTGTGCATGTTTTACTGTCTTCTACTAAGACTTTTGCCACCTATCAGTAATTTTTATAATCTAAATGACATTTAGGAGCATACAAAGTCATATAAAACGAGACTATAAAATGTGAAGCATGAGCATATGCATTGTCTGAAAGACTTACAAGTTACAATTAATAACTTCATCCTCGTAACAAAGTTTGTTCTTCAAGACTTCCTAAAAAATAGCCAAAATCAAAAAGAAACCCCCAATCCTTCATTTATGCAAATATTTGGAGCTTCTGCACTCCCACAGATGTTAATAGCAATGTCTTAATTAATATTTTGGGAACAAGAGTGAATATTACTTCTTCTATTGGCATAAAGAATACTTGAGGAGGACACATTTTCAGAAAGTTATCACAGTTGCTAACACTTTTCTGTACAGATATCTTGCAGGTATAGAAGACAACAAATGCCTATCCTTCCAAATCCTAAGGTTCTAAGTATTTTCTAACATACAATACTAATGCATATAATTACATATATTTGCTACAGCCAGTAGTCTATGCTACCTTATTGCTTAAAGCCCATCTGCACTGAAGGATTAAGGTGTGCTAACCTGTGGTGTGCACAGACATCTTAGTCTCCATGAACTCTTGGTGCAACTCCTGAGCACATACCCACTGGCTTAGGTTCCAAAAGAGCCAGCCAGTCCCGCCATGCTTTGGTCTAGTCCAAACACTGGTGTCAGCAGATTCAGCTGCGTGCTGCTGGCACTTCATCCCACTAAAGCAGTACTTTCAACCACACAGAGGAAATGCAGGTTTGATCCTCAGAATAGGAACTGATGGGCAGAGGAAAAGAAGTTTTGATCAGATTTTCCCTGCTAGCGTTTGACTATAGTTTAAGTTCCAGCTTGCTAGAACAGAATAATGATTTTGGGAAGCCCTTAGGCTGCAGAAACACAATGCATTGGAAACAACCTGCAAAACAGAATGATAGTGACTCAGAACAAGAGCTGAAAACTTAAGCTCCTTTGACTTACCGGACGTAAGAGGACATGGGTTGGTAAAATAGTTACAGATGTGTATCTATACCAAATAAAAAGACCTTGCAGCCATACAGAAAAAAAATGTATCTGCTTGTGCTGCACTGCTTCCACTCCCATGAATGCTTGAAGCAAAAATAAAATGTTTGCTTATATTTTGAACAAATGTTGGATAAAATAAAATTCTGAGCAGTGTTGAACCAGATAAGGACCTTGATCCTGCTCTGTAATGAATCGTAAGGCGCAGTTCAGAGAGGCCAGCTCTCACTTAGGAAAGCAAGTCTCCCTAAGCTTTCTCTGCAGTCGGAGGGGATCATCCATCTTCAGCTGTTGCAAAGAGGCATCGTTCTATTCAAGTACATGGAAACAGACCAACATACACAGGCTGACTATCCCAGACTGCTATCCCAAATGTACAGACCTGCACTTCTTAATATGTAATTCTTTACATGCCAAATGTAACGGCATTGGAGAATCTTTCTGAGCTTCGATTTGCAATCTTCTCATTAAAAACATTTCCAGTGTCAAATGGGCCTTTTAACTGAGGTCTGCATTTGGTGCAATTTTGAATGATTCTATGGTGGTTTTTTTTTCAATTCTCTATTTATTTTAAAGAAGATTTTATATATATTAAACAAGTTTTTACAGCTCCTCAAGGAATCAGCCTTTTCAATAAACTTACCGGACAAGCAGGTGGTTTGGTCTCTGGTTTTCTTTGGTGCTATAGAGCATAGGGAAGATAAGCAAAGTGTTGTTTTCTCTTCCTTTTTTTTGCTTTCCCCAAGCAAAAATTAAATTTTTACAGGAATGAAGCAGTGATCTACAACACCTGCAAAGAGAAAGCGTCTACTTGATCTTTTGACATTACACTTGTTTCTGAAGGAAAGGTGGGAGTGGAAATAAGCTATCTTGTGTAGTAAAGAGAGGAGAAAAGAGTAAAATCTCCACTTGTTCTTGTACCTCTCACCAGACCTACAGACCTTACACTTAATTCCAAGTTTAACCTGGACAAATAAATGGAAAAAAATACACTGTGAAGAACAAGCCTACACTGGCAGTAGAGCAGGTTTGATGACCTAATAGTTCTTTTTCCGTCCCTGATTTCTTTGATACTATTTATAAAAGGGAAGCAAAAACGATGGGCCACTCCAAATAAATTGTTAGCATAAACAAAGAGCAAGCATCAAAATTGGCAAATGCCTCTTTAAGACTTGTGTGGCTCGTGGAGCCAGGGAAAAGACTAATAACGCACCTCTCTGAAGGTCCCGGGCTATGTTTATTTCCCATATTTATTTAAAAGAAAATCAAAATACTTTTAAGCAAGTCAGATGGTTCCAAATTTAGGAACAATTGAACAAAGAGGAATCTGCTAATTCCAGATGGAGTGCATATAGTCCCTTGGCACTTATTACTTACCAAATGTTTCAGAAAGCAAACACATGACCTAAAGGATTTTGTGAGTGTGGGGTCCTCAAAAAAGCTCTTAACAAGTCATGTCTTTCCAACCATATTTACTTTACCCACACACAAAAACCCACTTAGTTTTCTCTTTTTTTGAGGTGGGAGGAGGGAGGGCGAACAGACCCCCACCACCGCCCGGCGGGGGGGGGGGGAGGAGCAGACAATGCTCCCTTTAAAGACTATTTATGTACAATCCAGTTATTCCACAAGGCCAGGGGCTCTGTAGGTGTCTTCTTTGAAAGGCTTCAGCTGTGGAGCATCTGCTCCCTGTGCACGAAGGCCACCTTTCCCTGCACCGTGGCTGGTGGAGGTGTTAGCTAATGCAGGAGCCCTCCCATGCTGCGGTGTGGGAAACAGGCACCCACAGCCAGCTCCTTGTCTCAGAGAGCCAGCACAGGTTTTGTTTGATTTTTCTTACATCTGGTCCTTTTCATGCACCCAGTCGTATCCCGACATCCTGCAAATGGATGCTATAGGAAACGGAGTCCGATAAACACAATTAGGAATTATTTTTTTTAGTGAGTATTGCGTTTCATTATTATAATTGTTTCATCCCCAAATTAAATACTTTGGGGGAAGTATAAATTAGAAAAAAGAAAAAAAAAAAAAAAAAAGAAAAGAAAAAAAAAGAATTTGAAACAGTTTTGCCCAAAATAAAATAATCCTGTGGAGGTACTTCCCTTTGCAGCAGTGATCCAGCCCCATGAGCACACCAAACCTTCCCATCTTCTGTTGTCCATATGGGAGCATTTCCTACAAAGGGTCTGTCCTCTTTAGCTGGTGGGACAAGCCCATCCCCACCAAAGGGGCAGAAACCAAGAGACCAGGCTGTGAAATAAAAATAGGGCTTAATTAATGTTTTCTATTTCTATTATTAGTTTTACCATTAGGACAGTATAGATAATATACTAATTTTTTTATATATATATAAATATGCTAAAAAAATGCCAAAAAAAAAAAAAAAAAACCAAGAAAAAAAAAAAAACCCAAATTAAAAAACAAAAACAATGAATTGAGTTTCAGAGAGATCTAAAAAAGATTTTTCACTGTATTAAAAACTGTATAACCAAGATGTTATAATTGCAATATAATCAAAAGAGTAAGGC